TTGCGGTCTCCGTCGGCTCGGTAACCGCACCGGAGCCAGTGTGAGCAAGGTGTAAATGGAAAGCAAACTGAACTGAACCGAGCTAGACACAACCGAACCGAGCTAACTGCAGACCAGTTCCAGAGGTGGGCTCGGCTCGGTTTTTCCCCTGGCTCGGTTCTCTGATAACAAGAGCGCATGAGCAGAACGCGTAATCTCCGTCTGGCTGCACATCGCGATTCACACTCCATTCCAGTAGTTGGAGGTAATGCGCCTCCGGAAGTTGCTTGCGAACCAACACAAAACAGAACAACAACAACAACTATAAACAACAATCCAAATCTTCTCCACGCAACATTTCAAACAATAACACCGAAGTACAGCAATAATAATCAAGCATAACTTTCTGAATGTGACGGGCGCCGCCATTTTGATTTGCTTGATTCCCTCCTTCTTCGTCTTGGCGAATAACTTTTGGTGCATTACCGCCACCAACTGCTTGATTTCCTCCTTCAATACTGGCAGTAATACCGCAGATCGTCACTAGGAGGCGAGGAGTCGAGGAACCGAGATAGCGTGATGTGTAAACGGTCGTCAGAACCGAGCTCGGCCTGGTTAACTGATCCGAGCTCGGACCGGTCTCTGCATGGATCGGTTTTTCAAGGGTAGTGGGAATGGGGTATTAGTCTAGGGGTGTGGGAAATAATCGTTTTGGCGATATATCGTGATATTCGGCTGCCCAATATAATATCGATCTTTCACTTCTTAGTATCGATTTTCAAAAAAAAAATGGTTACATAAAACATTGATGGGATAATGGGCTACCTCTGCACCCCCACTCTGGCAGAAAGCGCTGTGGAACCCTTTAACTGTGCATGCAGCACCAAATCTGTATTTGAGGCAGTCACAGTGGAAAAAACCCCAAACAACATGGATAATAATACCTAATCAATATTTTCTGATGAAAATATACAGCACTTGCTCTATTATCTCATCATTTGATTTTGATAGCTGAGGAAAATATGCCAATATATAGTGATACTGCAATATCGTGATAATATTGTATCGTGACCCAAGTATCGCGACATGTATCGAATCGCAACACTCATGCCAATACTCACCTCTATATTAGTCATGGTGGTTTTCTCGAAAAAACGCCAAATGTTCTCATTATCTAAAGATAACAAAGTCGTTTTCTCGTGATAACAAGATGACGGGTGTATGGTGTAGGATTTATAAGTCACGGCAGCCCATAATTCTGTAAATAATACCGTGTTTAACTTTTAGGTAACGTGGCGACATTGTTGGTTTCATGATTTGCTCCACTTGTGATTCATAATCCATTTTTATATGCTTATTTTTTTAACATTGAAAAATTAAACTGAAAAATAAGTATTGAAAATGTAATCACTTTGAAATAGTAATGTGAATTTTTAGCTTGAAGAGAAAATGACAAATGAAATTCAACTGTGTAGAAATAATGACAATGAATTTCTATTTAGGTCAAAAATGTGTTCTGAATATATTTTAACACTGAAACAGTAAGTACAAACATACAACATTTAAATTTCAGTGGAATTTTAATTCAAATCCCAGCGACACAGATTCACTTCCATAGGTTTGTAACTGTTTTATGAATTTCTAATTATAGATAGATGTAATTGTAAACTGTAATGTAATTTGTAATGTAATCTTTTGCCACTGTCTTGGCCAGGACTCCCTTGAAAAAGAGATTGTTAATTTCAATGGAACTTTTCCTGGTTAAATGAAGGAGAAAAAAAAAAAGCAAAGGAAAAGAAAAGTTGAGTACGACCGCTCTCGGCTTCCGTGCTACTTTTACACTTTTAGTTGAGTAAAAAGCTGAAGTTGATCCTCTAACTTCTACGAAAGCGTTTTTAAACAGAAGGATTTATTCTTCTACTGGAGTAGTACACATTAATACTTTTGACGCCTCTGCTTCAATTTTGATTAAAAAAAAAACAGAAAGACACAGGTTATTTGTTTTAAAGATATAAAACTTTGTATTTTAACAGGGATTGAACATGTGTACGGTGGCTTAGGTCCTCGATGTGGCCTTAACAGGTTAGACTCCAGGCCTGGTGACCGTTCTCCTCTCTAATCCCATTTCCTGTCTTCAGATTGGACACCATCCAAGTACTCATTGGGTTTTCCTCTCAGAAACTCCATAATATAAGATAAAAGAAGAATAAAGTCTCTGGTCTAGTGCCTCTGGTAGTTAAAAGTAGCAGTCCCGCTTTAACAAAAGCATAGCAGAGGCCTTCTTTGTGGATGAGGGTAATAAATGTCACAGGATGTGTGTGAATCAAATGCAGGGAGCATATATGCATGTGCCTCAGCTTTAGAGGAAAAGGATACTAATTATGCATCAATTCATTAATTTTCTTAAAAGAAATATTCTACCTTGTCTTCCATGTTTGTTTTTCTTCCCAAACACGAAGAAACGGGAGTAAAATGTGGAACTGGACTCGGCTCTGATGCGTCTTTGCTGATTACAGTCTTCTTTGCTCGGCTGAGGCCGACCCCACTGATGTATTTATGACTCAGATATGCTGTCAACCTGCCTGCTGCCAAGATGGGTTTCCTTTCCACCTTCACAGACATCTCTCTTCATAATGGTTCATTCATTACCTTCGATGGGTTCTGCAGATTTATGCTTTTGTCTGGGATTGAGCTTTGACATCCCTCTGCCTGGAGGACAGCTGGGAATATTTCAATATTTAGACACTAACACCTCATCTTCACTCTCTTCAGGTAATCTAGCCACATATTTTTGTCCTTGCAGGTTTTTTTTTGTTACAACCTTATGAATGTTTTAGCCCAAATAATTCATAATCTAGGGGCTAAAGCCGTCCATTCTGGTTTGAAGTGTCTAGTTTTATTATTTTCTGTCTCAAACATATATTCCGGGCACAGAGAAAGTGACCCTGGAAGCCTGATGGTTTCCTTGTTAAATTGCTGTCGTTACGGCTGTGCTCTGCTGTCTGTTACGCGTCAGCCGCTGAACTGAAGTCTTACTATGTGTCCTCAGAGGGACCCGTGTGTCGGTGTGTGTCCAGGGAGAGCCTGCAGGCCTCTGTTCAGATGAAATGGCACACAATGAGTGTCTGTGAGATCAGTTGCTGCTCTCATGGATGGATGGATATGTGGGCGGGTGGATGGAGAGAGAGAGAGAGAGAGATATATAAATATAAAAAAAGTCAGTTTCCCTTGACTGTAAATAGGAAGAGATACATGACTCTTAACCACAGTCCACTTGGCTTGTGAAGGAACCATCCTGCCAAGATACAAGAGCTGATGTTCCTAACAGAGCACTTCACTCTCAATCTGCAGGCTTACTAGTGGTTCCTAGAATTTCTAAAAGTAGAATGAGAGGCAGATCTTTTAGTTCTCAGGCTCCTCTCCTGTGGAACCAACTACCAGTTTTAGTCCGTGAGGCAGACACCCTGTCTACTTTTAAGGCTAGGCTTAAAACTTTCCTTTTTGATAAAGCTTCTAGTTAGAGTGGCTCAGGTTATCCTGAGCTATCTCTATAGTTCTGCTGCTATAGGCTTAGACTGCTGGAGGACATAGGGACCCCTTTTTCATCATTCTGCTTCATTCTATCTCTATTCTCCCACTCTGCAGAATCTGTTAGTTCAATCTCTAACGTTCTGCTCTCTCTGCTTTTTCTCATAGTAGCTTCATCTGGTCTGTTCCTGTTTGGCTGTGACTCCATCCTGGAGAGAAATATCAGCTGTGCTGCTGCCATCAACACCTTTGTTTCTAGACGTTGGAGCTTGGCCTGTTTTCCAGTGTAGTCCTGTTTCTCTGACTGTGACTAACTGGATGTGCTCTCTTCATCCTCTGACATGGGAGCTGACTCGGAGCTCGTCTGCCTGGCTGTGTGTTTCCTGGACGGGGCCGCCTGTGGAGCTGGTTGACAGTTGCCTTTTGTATCTATGCTTCTTTTTCTATGTCTGCTTCTGTCTCCTTGAACCCCAGTGGGCCTCAGCAGATGGCCGCTCACACTGAGCCTGGTTCTGCTGGAGGTTTCTTCCTGTTCAAAGGGAGTTTTTCCTCTCCACTGTCGCTACAAGCATGCTTAGTGTGAGGGATTGCTGAAGAGTCAATGAGTCGATGCAATCAGCTGGTTTTCCTTAGGTAGAAAACTTTAAATCAATCTGACTGGATGATCTGGTGAACTGGAAAATGCTTTGAGATGACATGATGTTAATTAGAGCTATAGAAATAAACTGAATTGAACTGAATTTAATAAATGGTTAAAAGCCCTTATCAGAATTTGCCACATTAGGAGGTATATTTGGTGCAATGTCCTATATGCACATATTCAAAAAGACTCATACAGCCTCAACATACTGGGGGCATTTAGAAAGTAGCAAAGTTATTTTCTGAGAAGAGAAAAGGCAGATTTTTAAACATATCTTAACTGCTGTGATTGAAGTGGTGTAACAGTTGCAGCATTGAGATGTTTATCACCAAAAACTAGAAGGTTTCGTACTTTAAAATGCCTCCTTTTATGAGCACGTCGGATGGAAAATGCACTTTTATTAGGGGATTTCATTTGGGTATATGTCCATTTTTAGAGCACAAGCTGAAATCAGACGTGAAGAAGTCAAGAAATTCTAAAATACAGCCTCACAAATTATTAAAACTTTCAATTGCCACCTTTTCTACCTCCTAAAAAAAACAATTAAACAAAGATTAGTTATGTCTCAGCTGCAGCCTAATGCAGAATAGTTCACAGTCATGCCTTGTAAATCAAACAGTCCCACTGACTAACTCTGACATTTATGGCGTTGTTCATACTGGCTGACATTTAACTGCCCCTCTGCCAGCTCTCATCAGCCCTCCATGAGGCAGGTCTCCCACTGTAACGCTGCTTTTATGACGCTCTGACTTCCGATTTTTAAGAGTTAAAAACCCAACTTTTTTTCTTTGTAGTTATTTTCTGTTCCAGTCAAATAAAACAATAACCTGTGTTTTCCTTTCTTTCCCTGCAGAGCTTGTTCACCCTTCTGTTGGGGCCTTTCACCTTCTTCAACGCCCAGAAGACCAAATACCTTCAGATTCTCACCTCAGTCATGCGTTGGATCGGTAAGAGGAATCCACCTTTCACAAGTTAAAGCTTTTAGTTTTCAAACATGCTTTGTTATAAAAAAGGTATCATGGTTCTAAAAGTACATTTTAAACTTTGGAAACCTTTTTTAGCACTGTTAGTTTTTTCTCTGCTAAAAGGAGAGCAGGAAAACACCTTCTGTCAGTTTGGTCTTCACATTGTTAAATGGCCAGTAATACAGGTGGACGTGGTGAATTATCAACAAGTCATATAAAAATTACACTTTTCAAACATCAGCAGCAGAAAAGATCTGGACTGAAAACTTTGAAAATCAGTCCTGCAAAGTCAGAAATGAAGGATAAACGTTTGTGTTAAGAAAAAAAAAGAGCATTCTCAAAAAAGTTGACTTTGTTAGGCCGAGTCGACTCTGGACAAATCAAAAGTACAGCTTTCTAAACGTTAGCCTCGATGTTTTACTGAAGCAGTTCGCATCCCTACTCTAGATTGTGTAGAAATGTAGGGTCATATCTGAGTAATGATTATAAAGTCTGGTATTTCTTTACCCCCATATAAAACAAATTAAAGTCGTCGGGAAGCGGCTGTTCCAACCGTTGCCTTTCCCAATTCTCCTGAGTGGTGCCCGACTTTACACGAGTCAATAAAGTGAATGTGATTGGTAATTTATCAAGGGGACGGGATTGTTGTGGCGGAAGGTTCGCAAGCAAGTTTGGTTGTGGCCGGTTTGTCGGAAGCATCTTGCTAACCAGTTAGCCACTTAGTGCTAGCAGGTTCCCAATGGGAAATTCCATTGGGACCAAGTAGCACTAAATTTGTGCCTTAGAAACGACGCTGTCAAGGAACACTATGGACAGAGGAAACATGCAAGAGGAGGAGAGTTTAGTGTCGGAGGTCGTGGATGAGTCTCCTCCGTCATCCATTTTTTATTTAGAGGAGGAAAGCGGGGATGAAGATGTTGTGGAAGAGGACGCCAGGGCGGCAGAAGCTTGGTTTGGTGTAGAAGGCTTCCAGCCGTACATGTTTGAGCCCTTGCCTCGCAACGCTGCCAGTTCTGTTAGCTCTACGCCTGCTGAAGACACAGACGTCCATCCCCGTGAACACTGGGATGCAACTCAATGGGAAAGGAAAGGATTCTGATTTCAACCCTTGCGTATATTAGCTGCGACATATGAATCAAGATGCTATGACCGAAAAAAATTGACCGTTGATATATGAATGTCTGAATTTAGGTGTTCCGTTTCATTCACAACAGCTGTCCTATCAACGAGGAATTAGAATCAGAAATACTTTAACAATCCCAAGACGAAATTACTTTTGTTTTATTACTCCATATGTAATAGAGTTACTATTGGAACAGTTTGATAGAACACTATTTCATACAATATATATAATTAGGGGGTCCCCGCTCCATCTCGCCATCAGTTTGGGAGTCCTTGGCCTGGAAAGATCTCTGCATTAATATTTAGAAACATGCTGGTGATGGTCATAGTCATTCCAAAAAAAGTTAAAAGACTTTAGAAAAAAAAAAAGTCCAGTGGATTGTTTTTTTTTTTTTGTTGTTTTTAACTTTTCTGGAATTTAAAAAGAACCCATAGAAATTAGCTTCAAATGCATTAATAACATACAGTTTAGCTTCAATAAACCTTATGTTAATCCTAAGTTTAAATGTAATATAAATCAATGTTGTTTATTGTACATCGGTGGAGGTTTACTTTGGCACTAAGGAAGAAACAAAATAGAAAACAGAATAAAACACTACGGTTGGCTATCAAGACAAAAATAGTGCAGTTGTTATGCTACGTTCACTCATGACACAGCAGGCGCAGCAGCGGCAGCGAATTTATATGCAAAGTCAATGGTTGACGCGCGTCAAGGCGCAGCAATATGTCCCGCGGTGCGTTTTGAGCAGCAGGCGAGCGTGTCTGAGCAGCTGAAGCAGCGCGTCGGGCGCGTTTAAGCATCTGACACGCAGCAAACCCGCTGCTGCTTGAGATGGAAAAATTTAACTTTTGCTGCTCGACGCGCCGCATCAACCAATCAGAGAAGCTGATCTGGGAGCTGTCAGGGAGACAGACACAGCGCTGATGACACAGAGTGCTATGATCGCTCCTCTGAAACAGTTTATTAACGCCTAAATTAACTTTAAATGTAGAAACCTGCCGACAAAACACGTTCGCTTTTATTATCCTGGTGCCTGCAGTTTGGATTATGTACATAAAAAACCGCCTTCCAGCCGCCACCGCGAACCGCGAGGAGGCGACTGGGCCATAGGCTGCTGTTGAATGGGATTCCTACTGACGGCGCACCACTGGTATGTGGGGGTCTGAGCGGCTCCGACAGAAATAATAATGGAAGGCAGGATGGTAATCTGGATGATCTGACTGCAGTGATTAAGTTTTCAGGTGGACTTTCTCACTTAAAAACATATTAAAACTACTTTATTCCCACTGATCACAGCAAATATAGCTGCAGGGCAAAGAAAGGATAGAGTAGCTCCACCCAACGCGCGTCAGACACACTTTTCCACCGCGCAGCCAGAGCAGCAAAGCTGCTTTAGCCGTGCGTCAGAACTAACTGGTACAAGCAGCAAAAATGAAGCAGCAGACGCGATTTTGTTGCTCCTGCTGCGTCCGGTGTGAACGTAGCATTATACATAGTAAAAAAAAAAAAACTGACTCAAAGTGTTCAATCCAATTGGTAATTTAAAAAGTGTACTGTATGTTTCCATGTATACTTTTTCAATTGATCAAGAAAAATGTTTTTGATCCTTGCAAGGATATTAAAGATAATAGAATAACTTAGCTTATTATGATCAGTGTTTTAAAGTCTAGCAGCTGATGGGAAGAAGGATCTGTGATGATGATCCTTTGTGCAGGTAGGATCCAGTAATGTTTCATCAAAGGAGCTCACCATTTCTGTTTAACCTTTATCCTAAAATTTCAGGTTAATCTGTTATTTTTTTCTTTTTGGACTGTTTTAGTTTTTATTAAACCTTTGGTGTGCTTCAGACTAAGTTGGGTCATCTGTAGTGTTGCTGCTTCTCTCCCTCCTCTCTGGACACCCTCTCTCTGGCTCCTGCCACCTGTTTTCCATTTTATCATCTTTCTGCCTTTGCCTCTGCGGCAGCCGTGGTCGGGTCCGTCCATCATGGTTCAGCTCTGCTCCGTGTCTTTGATTCCCATCTCCTCTCATTCCTCAGCCTGACAGGCTTGACAGGCCGTCCCAAGCTTGATTGGACCGTCACTCACCGGGCGACGGGCGAAAATAAACCGTCCATCCAGGAGCTGCTGTTAAAATCACAACACCGCAGAGTCGCAGCCCTGCTGCACATAAACAACACAGCAGCATCCATTCACTGTCCACGATTTTTTCCACCAGGCTTTTAGCTTCACCTTTCACTCCACACGCTCCGTGTAATTGATCGCGGTGCCGCTTTACAGCGTGCTCTTTGCAGCTCCGGCTAATGGTTCAAAATGACTCAGCTGGAAGCTTTGTTTTCTTCATGGGTTTCTAACATCACTGGACAGAAAGCAGAGATACAAGGTGGTGACTAAACAGCCCAGATTTGGCTTCTTCTGAGCCATTTTTTTACTTTTATTGGTGACTGTGATATAATGTCTGTTTTAGAGAAATCAAAAAGCATGTAAAAGTATTCATACCAGTACAAACATTTATGTTTTATTGGACTTAATTTGAAAGACCAACACAAAGTGGTTTGTAGACAGAAAATTCTACATGATTGAAAACATTGTTAGTTCATTATTAGATGGTTAATTTCAGTTTATTTTTCATTAGATTCAGTTATAGTTATAAAATGGAACATGTTCATGTGTTAGAACAGCCCAGTCAAAGTCCAGACCTGAAACCAAAACCTGCAGCTGTTACTGGTTCCACAAACTATCGACTGAGGAGGCCGAGGTTTACAGTAGTAGCGATTCATAATTTACCCACTTTTCTGGATGGGCCCTTTGCTGGTCCTTGGCTGGTCCTTGACTGGCCCTTGGCTGGTCCCTTGCTGGTCCCTGGCTGGGCTTTGACTGGTCCCTGGCTGGTCCCTTGCTGGTCCTTGACTGGTCCCTTGCTGGTCCTCGACTGGTCCTTGGCTGGTCCCTTGCAGGTCCTTGACTGGCCCTTGGCTGGTCCCTTGCTGGTCCTTGACTGGCCCTGGGCTGGCCCCTTGCTGGTCTTTGGCTGGCCCCTTGCTGGTCTTTGGCTGGTACCTTGATGGTCCCTGGCTGGCCCTTGGCTGGTCCCTGGCTGGCCCTTGGCTGGTCCCTTGCTGGTCTTTGGCTGGTCCCTGGCTGGTCTTTGGCTGGTCCCTTGCTGGTCCCTGGCTGGCCCTTGGCTGGTCCCTTGCTGGTCCCTGGCTGGCCCTTGGCTGATCCCTTGCTGGTCTTTGGCTGGTCCCTGGCTGGTCTTTGGCTGGTCCCTTGCTTGTCCCTTGCTGGTGTTTGTCTGGTCCCTGGCTGGCCCTTGGCTAGCCCCTGGCTGTTCCCTTGCTGGTTCCTGGCTAGTTTTTGGCTGGTCCTTGGCTGGCCTCTGGCTGGTCCCTTGACTAGTCCTTGGCTGGTCCCCTACAATTCCTTTTCAAATATCAATCTTTGTTCTAAAATATTCTTTCTGTCATGATTTGTGGACGTTAGGATCTAAAGAGACGCGCCATCTCATGGTCAGATCCTGTAATTTAGTGAAAGGGTGGATTTGGAGTAAAAAAATGCACGCCTAGGAGAAGTCCAGTGGCTGGGTGTCGCAGGGGAGTAGGCTGCCATTCAGCTGGTGTTCGACTGGGAAGGGGGATTTTGACTGGCTGCTACTGTATGCAGCCAGAATGACTTTAGCTCAGTGTTTTTGTTGGTAAACTGTGAACATACAGATTTACTCCTCATGAGGTGCAAATATTTTCAGCATCATTTCTCTCACTGTTTCGCCGACTCATTCCACTGTTTACACACCACAGCACGTGCTGAGTAGGCGGTGTTTCCAACACATTTCTAGCTCAGGAAGCATACGCCTGATACCG